CTTTTGCCACACAGAAATTTTGATGTTTTTGAAAGCCAATTTCTCCTCGAGTATTACGTCCAAAGAGCCAAAAATTTCACCAGTTACTAAGTTTCAAAAGCTGTTTAAGTTTTTTCTAGTAAAATCGTGTCTAGCATGATGCCTTCTATGCGCAAAGTCGTATGTTAATGAGGAAAAATGTAAACAATGACGTCAGCAAAGATTCGCCTATAGAACTCTTTTGAGACCTACCCGCTTTCAATAACTATAAAAGTCTTGCATTCTTTTAGATTTCTAGATTTTTAAGTCTAAAAGACGTCTACCGTTAATACGAAACATAAGTGCATGTAGTGCACATACTCTTGTGTAATTAGCAAAACTTTACAAAATATATACATGTATTTGTGCATTGTTCAGTTTTCATGACTCAGTTTTCAGTGGGGATGATGCTACGCAACGCAATATATCGTGATTGACAAGCTGACGTGACATTTATCTCCTTCACAAAAGAGATCTGGAAACGAGTAACGTGACATCTTTTGGAGCATCACGCTATTTCTGATGATTTGACGGAAAGCGGAACTCAGTTTGTCTCTAAATGATAATTTACAACATTAGTATGACCAAAGATATTTTTTCATGGCCTTAAATTCCCAATTGATAAACAGTGTAAAATTTTGTCAACTGACAACTATTTTAATACAACTGACACAATCTCTCAAGTACAAGGAATTACGTTACGTCACTAGAAGTTATAAATGCTACGTTTGGCGATATGTTTACGTCATGTAAGCTACACGAATTGTCTCAATATTTGCAGGTTGCTTTTTTACGATATCCTCCCGACATTGGAAGCGTTGTGCCGATTGTCATGACAACGCACTTGGCTGGTGTGTTAGTGTTCTGTTCTCCAGATCTTGGTTATAAACTGGGACAAGTCACAGGAGCAGATCCTTTGCTGTCTTCATATGCAGGAATGGCTTGCTCCTTCCTTGTGTTAGTGCTTTTTCCATTTATCACCAGGTAAGATACAACCGCAGATTAACGTGCGAAAAATGTCTGTCGAGGAGAATTAACATCTTGATTTTGGGAACCGCTGCTAGGTTAAGTCTGGAGATGTACATGTAGGTTAGACGGCTAGCTAGACGTCGTGGAATTCAACTTGAGGCAGTACAGTCATTTTGGAAAAGTAAAATTTTTCGCAAATGTCGACGGTTCTCGTTGTCGATCGTAATAACGAGGTCACAGTTTTTTCGAATTGTTGGCCAATTTTCCACCCTTAGTAAGAGCACCGCGATATGTCGTTGTTGCAAAGGAATAGCTTGCAACTTGCGCTCTGGATACGACCAGAGTATTCTGTCCTGGTTTGAACAGTATTATGTAGATTCTGGGTGCAAAAATGCAGAGAAGGAATCCCAGGGCACTAGTAATGTTCGTGGCGCATTCCAGCACGGTTATGTGCCATCCGTCAAGAGCGAACGCCACTGGGTAGTAGGCCAGTGCCGATAGGAGTAAGATGTACATGGCAAATCCGATACGCTTGGCTTCGTTGAAGTTTTCAGGGATATTCCTTACCTTGTAGGCGTAGTACGTACATGATAGCGAAAGCACGAATCCGTAGGTGATGTTAACGAATACGATGTTTTCCGCAGCGTGTGAACTGTATGCCTTGCAGATGATTGAAATGTGTTTCAGATACGTAATGGTGGTTTCCTTGTAAGGCGGACCCAGCGTTAGCAACGCTATTGTCAAGCTCATCTGCACAGCTGTAAGCGAGGCTAGAAGAGCTCTCTGAGTGCTGGCTTTAGCGATGAAGGGTTTGACGTTCTGCGCAATGATGTCCCCTTGAAATGCACTAGCAATTCGTATTGTCTTGACGAGGAGAACGCTAACGCACAGTATCCAAATGGTCATCCGTCCACAGTGGCTGAATCGGCAGATCATGTTGGTGGGTTCGGGTAGATTGAGTAGAGATAATACAAACAATGAGGTGACCCCGGCTAAGAGTATTAAACTCATTTCTCTATTTGAGGCCTTGGCTATAGGGGTGTTGAAATGCCTTATGAAAATACCCCACGTGAAAAGCGCCAAAATAAGACCAAAACTGGCAAAAACCGTGATAAGTATACCACTGATGCTGTTCAGTTGCATGCTTATTATCGGAAGCTCCGTGCACTTCGTTCGCTCTTTATTCGATCGCTGCCTCTGTGAACATTCTGTACAGTTGTGGGAACCGTGCCGCGTGCTTATGCTGTTTTGTTTGCATTTAATGCATTCCCAGCAGCATGGTGTTGTCGGTGACATCCTAGTCCCTGGGGGACACTCCTCTACACATACGGACCTCGGCATGCTGCCGTTCAAGTTGGCATTCCATAACACGTTTGATTCTAGCGAGAGCTGCGGCTTAGCGTTTTTCCTCCAAGAACCAACCAAGACCTTTTTGTATCGCCTACCTGGGAGATCGCCCCTCTGAAAATTTACTATATCGTACGATGCTGTTTGTACATCTCCTGACTCGTCGAACTGCACGCGGCCAGTGACTCCATCGAAACTGACTTTCTGAAGGTAGAGAGGAAGACTTTTCGTATCAATGCTGGGTGAAACACGAGGACACTCTCCTCCCGGTAGTAAACCATTTGGTTCCACGCATTTGTACATTTTGTCAATAGCGTGGGCAACTGCGTATACTGCATCCAGAAGATAAGGGACGAATGAACTCCGAATTTTTTTAATCGACTGATATAAGGACATGTTCTTTGTGCATTCTGACAGTTTGCGGTTGCAATGTTGAGCCCAGAATTCTTTCCACCACGTTAAGTTACTCTTCAAAGTTCTCGCTCGTGTCATCGTTCTTAAGTGATCATCGAAGGCCTTGTCACGGTAGTCACGTGGCTGAATTCCCAGAGATCCCTCGAGTCCCGTGAAGCGCGGGTCCAAATGCACGCTCTCCTCGGCGGTTATAGCGTCGCTGAAAATCCACGTGCGATCGCGCACGCCTTGTTTGTTCGTTTCTTGTAGAAAAGCCCTTCCATACCCTCCTGACAACCACACAATGACCACTCCAATGTTTCGTTGTTGTTTGAGCTTGAAGACAATTTGACTGAGCTTCTCGGTGTAATCGAGTCTCGGGAGAAACTCGGAATAAGCAATGCAAAAAGTTCTGCGCTTGTAAACTTCTTTCTCAACCGCCCAGACGCCTTGTCGTCCGTACGTGTCGTCAAGTGCTATGGTGGCAACGTAAGTCCAATTGAAGTACTCAATGATGTCCGCCATGACCTTAGCTTGCCATGTGTCGCAGGGAACTGTGCGGAAAAAGTTGCGGTACATCTTGGAGCTGAGTTCGTGGCTCGTTGCCGAAGGGCTGATAGCGGCGATGCCGTTTACTTGGAGAAGACCCCCAACCAACACGGCGCTTATGGAATCGTGCGGACCGATAATAGCCACAACTGGAGGATGAGATGACAAATCGTTTGTGCGATTCTTACCAGACTGGCAGAACGGATCGGTGCTTCTAACCACGTCGTAAGCCATCGTCATCGCCATGCCAGCGTTCTCGCAGTAGTCGCGAATATCGTAACCTATAGTGACGTTTTGTAAAATACTGGAATCGTTGTTGATGCGCTCAATAGCAAAGAGCATGGCCTCGACGTGACCAAGACCCATGGTGAATAACTCGCTGCTGCAGGTGTCATTTGGTCCTTTGATGTGCACATCGAAAAGGCCCCCTAGGGTTACGTCACCCGGCTTGAAGATACGGTTTGGATGAAACTTGGAATCCGCTCGATGGATATTTGAACAAAAAATTGCGAGAAGAACGAAGGAAAACATTACCCGGTGTTCGCGTTTTCTAAAGTCTGTCACCACTTGGACGCAACTTGATCGGTTTTGGGTGAATCCTATATTTGCCACCTTCTCTTAAGTAAGCGTGCTGACACGAATCTGTTGACTTAGAGATTTTTTTTCATCAAAAGGGAAAATTTATTTAAACACTAGTACTAATGATTTCTCGCATTTGATCTCTGAGCCCAAAATAATAATTACAACAAAAATTGTTAAATTTGGTTTCTTTGAAGAGTTTTCTAGAAATGGCAATAACATATACCTGATATCACGCTATTCCAATTACTGGCAACCAATAGTTACGATGGAAAAAAATTAATACAACTAAATAAAAACATATCTGCTTCGCTTGACAAGAGTGAAAAATATTTACATTTTGAAAGTTCTTAATTAAAAAAGTGAGTGTCTTTTTTACACAACCTGTTATGTTTTTAATCTCGAACTTTGTCTTACTGATTCTGGTAGCCTACAACGTAGACAAAGTATAAAGAAATAATTAGTTCTTGGAACACCATAGCGTACTGTCGTTTTATGCGTTTCCGCACGAAAACAAACCAAATTTGTTGTCACTTTGTTAGCGACTTTAAGTAAATACATTTACCGAGAGGGAGACTCCATTATCCACTTAAATAGTTGAAAATGACCTTCTCACAATACGTGCGTTTCATGCCGTAAAAATTACGTACTGTATTTTGTCGGGCCGCTTTATAATTTTCTACTTCTTTAGCGACATTTTATGCGCAGCGTATCTTGTACAATTGTATAAATACTGGGCGCTGTCTATTCGATGAAAAATTCTGGCTTGAATTGCGGAAAATTTCTTATCACGAATGGAACGGCAATTCCTGAATTTTCGGAACTGAAGAAGAAGGGTACTTATCATTTAGATCAGAAATCCGGGAATTTCGGTTGAAAATCAAATGGAATAGTAATTTTCCGGAAAATTAATTCGGAGTTGTGGACGACATTTCGAGGTACAGCTGTAGTCCTTTTTGTTCCGGTTGGAACGGAATGGCCGAAACTTCCTTACCATTTGCTAAATTTACCAATTTCCAGTCTCTCGTCAGCCGAAAACAATTACCGCAAATCGAATTGCAAATGGTAAGCGCCATTTCTTTCGGTTGGTTTGCTGATGCTATAAAACCCTTACCATTATTTAACGGTCATTCCAATCGGTTTATTCCAACAAACGGTAAGCACCTAAGTTGGCGAGGTATCTCCAAATTTTCGCAATATGTCCTACGGAGAATATCTGCTCCATTTGATTTTCCTCCCAGAATTTCCGGAATTTTCGGTCGAATGGTTCGTTTTTCCTAAATTCAACAATTTTTCGGCTTTTCTGGAAACTTTCCTTGGATATTTCCGTATCATTTTGTCCCCATTTCAAAATTTTCGGGATTTTTGGTTGAATGGAAGGCGCCGCTCTCTTCCGCACAGGTGGAAATGTTCCATCACGTATTAAAAAACGCAAAATAAAACACTCTTTTGCACCACTTCTTCGGTGAGGTACTGTGTGATTTATTTCGCGAGCACGCCTTCTGTTTCTACGCAACACTTATCAGTTAAGTCTCCTTGGTTCTTATGGAGGCATTGGTCGGCACGAACCTCTGACCATCTACTACCGTGAGAGTTGATGTGGGCCATCTTTTTAGAGTTTGTACACCAGTTTCGTGGAACTCTATCGCAGACATATAGAATGGTAATGGTAATTCTTTATTTAGGATGACAAACTCCGCTTAGCGAAATAACTACTTCACAGGAAGCCCACTATGAGTGGGATGTATTCTGAATTTTCGAAGACATATGTTTGCGTAATAATCTGTACAATGTTGGTAAATTATGTATTTCATGTTTTCCCAAGCTGGAAATGTCGATTCTCCTCTCCATGATTGACATACATGTTCATATCTTTTTGTCAGTTGTGAGGACCTGGTCGTGCTGTCCTTTACTCGAGGAAAGATCTCATCGACATTCTTATCACTTGTTGGTTTGCTATGTATTGAGATTGTAAGGAGATCTTACTTAAGGAATCGAAAACATTTATCGTGTTTCTATCTATTTGTAGTGGAGATCTACAAGTATAGTAATACCAATGCTGCAATTTGATTGGCTGAACTACTCGTAAATATACATTATCAGCCATTAGAGTGCAGTGGTAGTCTACATAATAGCGACGTTTTCTCTCTTATCCGATGTTTTTACCGAAAACACGTCTCAAGATGGGAAATTGACCATCATGCGGCTTTGACTAAATCTCAAAATGTGATAATGAACTGACGAGCGTATGCAACAGCTGCAGGTTTCAAACAGCAATTTAATCCGCGCACGGATGTGTTGATATGTTGAATATATAGCAATTATGAAATAGTGTTTGTCATTGTTATTGTTTTGTAGAGTATGCGTAAATTCAAGTCAGAACTGATGGAATATCTGAAAATATGATTGTAAAGTTACCAAAGTTTAATCTTAACATTTGCGCTAATCCTCAACAAGCATAACGTAAAACGTAGACGTATTTTGTGTTGGTCACGCGAGACTTCGTGACGAGCCCAATTGTTTCCTGCCCGAGAATGCTATCATTTTGATGTCTTCTTCTCAAAATAGTTTCCCAACTTATAACTTAATCTTTGTTTTTCATCAAGGAATTCAAGTGACGCTGTCCCTGATCACGTGACCCTGAGAAGCCATTACATGCTCAAGTGTGCAGCACTTATACTCTTCTCGGTTCTCATGGGAACAATGGCTGCCATGAACTTCTCTCTGGCGTTCTTTGTTGCCATGTTCCATGTGCCCGTGTACTTGTTTGTGAAACCTTCATGTAGCAGGTGAGTTGTCTATTTCTTGGTTATATCTGTTTGTCCAGTCTGTTCTGTCTGTCCTGTTCTTTCCAAGTAGGTGACGCATCCTGAAAACATAAGCCTGAACGTTTGAAGATCGTTTTTCCATAATTGAAAACGTCCGCGTTTTTTAACCAATTGAAACGTTAAGCGATAATATAGCAAAGTAATAACTCTTTTCAATTGAATGGAGTTAGGGATGTTTTGGTTTCAAATACAACGTAAATCCCGATCGATAATGACATTTATTACTTAGTGTTTCTCAGGAGAGTACAAAAACTGCGAGAAACGAGTAGAAATATCAAACGACTTGCTAAGAGAAAGAAAGCGGTTCAACGGGCTTGCTGTGGTTCTCTTATATCCTCTGATTACTTGAGAGTGCCAGAAACGTTTCAAAAAGTCGGGAGTTTATGAACGAAGTCGTTTGACGAGATTGATATGTGTAGCTTGGCTGTACGAAAGTTAACCTGTCTCTTGTGTTTGCAGGACTCGTCGTACCATTCAAGCTCTTCTGTTGCTTTTGGTGTGGCCGCCCATGATTCTTTTCCTCCTGTCGCTAGCGTACAATGCAATAGTTTCAGGAAATCATGCTAACATTGCTTCCATACTTTCGTCGACTCTGGCAACTGTCCAGCAATCCGTGACGTCATCAATCAGAGAAGCCCGGATGTTAGGCACGTGGTCCTTTGCTATGACGTGCCTTGGCTTTTTACCAAACTGGCTCATGTTTTGGTGTTTAGCGTGGCGTTGAACGCTTGACCGGAACTTTGCAGTGCATTTTCAGGTTTAATTAGAAACACTTGTTTATGTACTGAGCAACGGAACAACGATGAGAAAACACTTTGTCAATGAGCAACACTCTCTTCAGCTTTTAAATGTGTACATTTGTTCCCTATTTTACCGCTTTGTTTTTCACACTGTCTTTCCGCGTATATTTTTCATCTCGCGCCTTTGAATTTTAGTTTTGAAAGGCTTTAGACTGTAAGCTGATAGCCTACGAGTAGTCCCATTTTCGCTAGTCCGTCGAGCGTTACCGTAAATCGCGCGACCATTTTTTTCGCGATTTTCTTTTGCGTCACGCACGACGGTCTAAGCGAGAGAGGGTCTACTCGTAGTCGTAGGACGCTTAAAGCTAACGACTCGCGTTCTTAACCGGAGATTGCTTTTACACAAGATGATTTGGAATCCTGGTTACTCCTGGAGGTGATTTTAATTCCGCCGTCACACCAAGTGACAAAATCGTAGACTACTCACTTGAAAAAAGATTTTCCCTTCCAGAGACTACACCAAGTGACAGTTATGACGTCACTCTAAAAGCTTCTTTCATCAATATTTTTCCAAGAGGTAAACTAATACGAAAAAATTAACTTCCTTCTTCAAATGGAATTAATATTCGAAAATGGCGGTCGGAGTTTCGAAACGTAAACATTAATTTAGGCATAGCCTCTTTGTAAACCAATACGGATGCCATATTTCTCTGCCTGTTTAATTCTCTGTTTTCCTTAGCTTATGACGGTAAATTTTTATCGTCTGCGGTTAATGGGAATAGTTCTGTGTTTTTCAATAGGAAGTTCAAAATGTCCTCTGAATATCAGCTGACGCCATTTTCATGTATTTACACTGAAGTTGTTCCAGCGTGAGGGTATTAATTGAAGCTGGGAATGATTTGGCTGTCAAAATTTAGGAGAACTTGGCAGTTAATTGTGCTAGGGATTTTCGAGCTGGAGTGGGTTTCTCTCTAAATATAGTAATTTAATTTAATTTTTAATGCTCCGCAATAACACGGAATGACACCAAAATAACACCGGAATGAACCTGAAATGACACTGGAACGTACCGGAATAACAGGTATACAGGAATGAACAGAAATGAACCGGAATAGTACCGGAATGACACCGAAATGATGCCTGGGGCGTAACCAGGATTTTTCAAAAGGGGGGAGGGGGGTCACTGTGTCAAGACGAGGTTTCTCGCCAGATTGTCATGTCGTTTTCGCCGCCTGTTGTACTGTTTTCTTAAAAAAGGCTTACAAAAGGGCTTACAAAAAGGGGGTTGACGGGCACCCCAGGATCCCCCCCTTAGCTACACCCCTGGATACCGAGAGGAATCGGAAATATTGGCGCAGGGTATGATAACGAAAATATTAGGAAATGGTGAAAGAGCTAGAAATTAAACGTTGTGACAGTCCTTCACGACTCCTGCTGTTCGTAAATGTCGTTTCTTTGCCTTTAGAATTTGGTTCTCACGAGTGTGCCCGCCCTTGAGTGATTTTCCTCTTTTGTTCCGTTCCCGCTTTTAGTAACGATCCTGAAAGAAGATCTATCTTTTCAGTTGCTTTTAGTTTCGGAGGAGAAAACTACGAATAAACTGGTCTCTAAAAATAGCTCTATCGTGACGGAAAGTATTTCAAAAAGTTCGAAAGCATGCATCTAGCCTGTTCCAGGCTCTCGATCAGCGAGGACGATCGAAAAAGTGGGCGTGCGACGAGCGGGAGCAGGCTAGAAAGCATCGAGTCTAAGGAATACAAAGTGTGCGGGCGATTACTCCGCGACTTTCGTGCCTGTAAAAGCTAACCTAGACGATGTCGCTTCAGTTGTGCTACCAAGGTAGGTTGAACGATAAAGATAAACGATATCTTAACATTTTTGCAGTTGTTTGGCTCGTCACTGCTCTCGAAAGCACCGGTATGTATCGCCACTGAAAGAATTAACAAGCGCTTGCCATAGGCGCCTTATTATAACCATTTTCATAACCGTATCATAACGGTATCATAACCATTCATTTTGTCATCAAACTCTTTTCACAATGATCATTCTGTTTCGACATTTCATCTCATTTTCCAGTCATGATAAACGTAGTGACTGTTATTCTCTTATCAAAGCGTTCAGGCATTGGGCAAATGGAGTGTGTTTAATCATTACTTGTTGTTTTGTCAGACTCTTTCTGTCTTTCATTGTGATCTGTAAAATGCGTAACAGAAGCCAACGTAAATCTGTGCAAGAGTTCCAGACGATACACAAGGCCTAGAGGAAAAATGCGAAAGTCGTGTTTTGTCCCTTGTCAGTTGTGTCTCGAACGGCTTCCTATCCACCAAAACACCCCAACCAACTCACACCTAATAGTTACCTCTCGCGCCGGTTACGACGTAGCTTTTCCTGGTTTCTGTAGCACTGAGCGACCAGGAGTATTTCTACTTCCTACTGGATGGAATGCCATGCAGTCCCCACCAGGGTTACCACAGCATTCAATTTTCATTTATATTCCACCTGGGTAGAGAGAGGCACTGTGACAGTAAAATGTCTTGCCCAAGAACACAACACAGTGACCAGAGGCAAGGCAAATCTGAGGCGTCAGTGCTATATTTACCACATTTGTACTTTGCAACTTCGCTTTACCCGGCTAAACAGCCTAAAATTTCAGCTAGGCTCAATTTCGTCGAATTTAAGGTCGCTCTGAATCCTCTACACAGAATCTTTTTAAAGTTACATCTTATCATGCTTATCACAATTTGATAATAAAAAATGAGAGTCATAGAGCTCGTTTTTGATTGAGTTATAAGCGTTTAAAGCTAAAATTAAGGGTGGTCAGTTGGCAAGTCATACTATTGCAATTGTGCCCTGAAATTGACACCAACATCTTTGCCAACGATTGGGCAGGGTTTTGATACCATGATTGTGGCATCAACGGATATAAAGTTTATAATGACTCATCAAAATCTATGTCTTGGAAAAAGCTGGGAATTGTTTTCAGCCACCTCTACTCTTTACGTTAAAAGCTGTATGTATTAATTTTTTTATTTCTGATGCACCACAGTTACAGAAAATTGTAAATATAACTGACTTTATATAATATATCACCCGACAGGTGAAAAGAACCAACCAGTCAAATCTGAGTCATAACGGACAAAACAAAAGAACCAGTGATCACAAATCTAGGACCAAGGAAGACACGTGCCAATATGCTTTCGTTACGTGAGTGCGTCACCTGGTCTGCGATCTACGTCATTGGACATATTGCCATAGTAACATTCAATGCCATCACTATCGTTGCTTTTATGAAGAACTGTCAACTTCGCAAACGCAGCACATATTTACTTTTAAACTTAGCAGTAGTCGATATGGCGGTAGGATTTACTGGACTTTGGTCTGTATATGAACTTGGAATGTATTGTAAGCTTTGGAAGGGTTCACTAAAATGGTGGGAACAGAATCCAGT